CGATCAGACCTCCACCAGGTTTCGAAGGTTGGCGCCCAGGACGATGCAATTCTTTGGGGTGTGATTGGGCTCGACTGGATGAAAGACGTGTTCCAAGTCCTGTCGGTGGGGAGGGGCGATGATCCGCTGTGGGATTTTAGTTATCCTGAATTTGTCAGTGAGAAAAATGGTGTGCTTGCTGCTGGGACAGGAGATCGTTCCTTATCAACTGAGACATGCTGACGCGCCTTGGGGTATTTCCAAGAAACATGGTACTTTCTTTGACTTCCAACGACGTGGTGGTTGGATGTCTGCAAAGAGTGCGCAAAGCTACGAGAAATCAGGGATGATGAAGGACTACGCCCTGCTCCCGTTAGCGCTGAGAACGTACATGGAGGATGCCACCGCGACCGTGAGATATATGATTATGAAGGGTCGCGTTGTGCCCCATCCTCCCGCGTTGTCTCTCGCAGGCTCCCGTCGACGTTCTACGCGTCCTCCATTTGCATCGGAATAGAGTGCACAATGCTATGGGTTTGTGATCTGGGTGAGGTGCGCCGTGGTGCCTCGCCCGTCGTTTCATGCGCCGACAGGTCTCGAGACGGCGCTGGCATCAGAGCCGGAAGAGTACGAAAAGAGGGCGCGCGGGGGGGATCATGTGAGTTGTGCGTGAATGATCTCAGCACGCTCGGTAGTTTCGGTCGGGCAGGGCAGGTCAGCTTGTTCAGACTTTAGATGCATGTCCTGCCTGTGATGTTTTTTTCGGCTCCCCGTGGCCTGCCCTTCGCCAATTCATTCTTTCACATTGGGTGAGGTGCTCCGTGGTGCCTCGCCCGTCTTTTCGTACGCCGACAGGTCTCAAGACGGCGCTGGCATCAGAGCCGAAAAGGGTACGAAAAGAGAGCGCGCGGGGGGGATCCTCCTCCTCCTCCTTCACCGCCTCCTCCTCCTCCTCCTCCTCCTCCTCCTCCTCCCCCTCCTCCTCCTCCTCCTCCTCCTCCACCTCCTCCTCCTCCTCCTCCTCCTCCTCCTCCTCCTCCTCCTCTTCCTCCTCCCCCTCCACCTCCTCCTCCTCGTCCTCCTCCTCCTCCCCCTCTTCCTCCTCCTCCTCCTACTCCTGCGACCACTTGCGAACCATACCCCTGCGATTCCATTCGAGGTTGGGGTGTTGCACCCCCCGTTCGTTGAGGTTCACTTGGCTGCAGACATCCGTCAAATGATTACCCCCGCCAGTGTTTCAGAAGTCTGACCTGCAGGGGCAGGGTTCCCATGTGGTTGCCCATCCTCCTTCTTTTGCTTCTCGTCTTCAAGGCTCGATGATCGACGTTTCTGAGTTTTGTTTCTTGCTGTTGTTTCATGTCCCTCCCTGTTTTGGGAGTCGGGGCTTCCAGAGGCCTCCGGAGTTACTCCTGGGGGGCCTGCCGAATGCTGGAGGTTTCACGGACCTTCAGAGTCCTCGCCGTCGTCGTTCTCCTCCTCTTCCACCTCATCCTCCACCTCCTCCTCCCCCTCCTCCTTTTCCTCCTCCTCCTTCCTCCTGCTCCCCCAGGCTTCTTGAGGCTCGAAAAAATCGCGCAGCTTATTCTCAACATCTTCAGCTTCCTGGAGGCTGCTCTCAGCTATTAGGATCGCTAAACACCGATTCAGGATGAAAAGCAGGTCGTCGGGATTGGTCGAGAAGTCCAAGGGCCAACGACTCGAGGTTTCGGTCTCGGTCTGGGTTGTCGCCTTCCTTGTCACACCCTTGCCTTCTCCCGTCCGCCTCCCCCCTTCCTTTCCTCCCCCTTTTCCTTTCTTCTCCTCCTCCTTCTCCTCCTCGTCCTCCTCCTCCTAGCCGCCGCGGGCCCAAAGGGGCCTTGCCCGCGCGCAGTCGCAGCGGCGCAGCGCGGGCGAGCCATGGTGGATGGTAGGTGAAGGTGGGCGTCATCAGCACGTCCTCAAGCACCTCTTGCAAACACTAGCGCAGCCGAGACGAAGATGAATGCCAAGATCGAGCCGAAGTTGTTTGGCAAGTTCGCCATGTCGGTTGGTGGGGGTGCTGGGGACCGTTGCAGTGAAGATCGTTTCGTTGGAGTTGCGTGGCGCATGCCGCGTGAGGCCGTGGACGCGTGGAGCATTCTGCGTGAGGATAGCAGCGACCAGAATTGGCTGAGGTTCTCCGACGCTCCCCTGTGCAAGGTCCTTCCAGTCTGACTGGGGGTCGGGGGCGTGGGGCGTGGGGGGGGGATCTTTCCGCGCACGGCTCCAGCCTCACCACGTTCTTCCTTGGGACATGGTAGGGTTGGCTTGGCCCTTTGGGGCCTGGGGTCTTGTGTGGCTCCTCGTGGCCGGGCCTTGTTGGCTCGGCGTGGTTGGCGCGTCGCCTGGTGCGCGGGTGGTTCATCCCCCTCTCCGCGCTGAGCCTCGCGTGGCCAGGGACCGCAGGAACGGTTCGTATCATCAGAGCCCTCAGAGCTCTTTCCTTTTTTTAAATTTGTTTTGTACCGCTGGCCTTCCTTGTAAATAAACCCCGAAATCTAGAAAATGTTCCCCTGAGAAAAAACAGTCGAAAGTGATCGCACATTCGGTGTCGATTCGTTTATAGTTTGGGGCGTCCAGGTTTCAGGATGTATCAAGCGGGAACCCCGGTTCTGCTGTAAGAGGGCGATGTTGAAAACCAGACCGGCCCAGACCTCTCGACTACGATCCACTTGCCCTCCAAGGAACCTGGCGCCATGCCCTGACATGCTGTGCGGTGTTGTGTTCTGCGCCGCTGTGCGAAGCCATGATTTGCGCTGCAATGCTTTGTGGTGCAATGCCTCGCTGCGCAATGCCACGCCGTGCTGCGCTCTGCCGTGTCATTCTACGCCGTGCCATGCCGTGCTCCTACCATGCATCGCATACCCTCTCGCGATCATTGTCCTGCTTGACATCCGACTGTGCGAATAGAGAGGATCTATTCGCCAAAGTAAGGGATGGGAGGGAGGGGTGGGGTGTCAGGTGTGACGCGAGCGCACCTAGATTGTCCTTCCCCCCCCTCCCCCCCCCTCCTGTACCCGCTGGCGCGCCCGTCTGCGGGTGTAGGGTCGCCACCCCCTGTCGGGCGCGGCCCCTCCCCGTGCCCCAGTCGTAACCAGTCGGCCATGGCAGTCACGCCTTCCCCCTCCCCCTCTCCTCCTTTCCCCGACATCGTCGTCGTGTCGTCGTCGTCCTCATCGGCCTTGTCGTCGTCGTCGTCGTCATCCTCTTTCTCTTCCCCCTCAGCCTCTCCTATGGGGCACGTGATTCGCGCGATGTGGGCAGGAACGGGCCATCGTCATCTTCATGGTTGCAGTCGTGGTTGCCGTCGTGGTCGTCGTCGTCGTCGTGCTCGTCGTCGTCGTCGTCGAGGTCGTGGTCGTGATCGTGGTGGTGGTGGTCGTCGTCGTCGTCGTTGTCGTTGTTGTCGTCGTCGTTGTCGTCGTCGTCGTCGTCACCTCCAATCCAACGCCCCTGTCTTCGAAGAGGGGAGTACCAACTGCCACCGAGCTTTCTCGTGCGCAGTTTTGGCCCCTCGAGTGCCTTTCGGAAACCCAATTCTGATGAGGCCAGCTGTGGTGCATGTTTTTTTTTTTTTTTTTTTTTTTTTTTTTTTTTTTTTTTTTTTTTTTTTTTTTTTTTTTTTTTTTTTTTTTTTTTTTTTTTTTCTTTTTTTTTTTTCTCTCTTTTTTCCAGGGTTTTTTGATTACAGTTATGCTTTCTACTTTGGCGTCCCGGACCGCGCCCCAACTCCCCCAACCCCCCCCTGGGTCCGGGAAACCCCCCCCCTCCGAGGAGGGGTTTAGGGGGGGTCTTTGGGGGTTCGGGGAAGTGCCATACCTGTTTCGCTTTCGTGGTGCATGTTGGGCGGTATTGGGGGCCTGCGTGCCCACTCGTGTTCCATGTTTCGTCCTTCCATCGTGGACCGTCGCGCTTCCGCGGCGCGGCCGCCGCGAAACACCACTTCGCAATGAGGGCAGCTCAGGCGGGGGACCCCCCCTCTTCCTTCTCCTCTTCCTCCTCGCTCGTTCTCCTCCTCCTCTTCCTCCTCCTCCTCCCCCACCCCCTCCTCCTCCTCCTCCTCCTCCTCCTCCTCCTCCTCCTCCTCCTCCTCCTCCTCCTCCTCCTCCTCCTCCTCCCCTCCCTCCTCCCCTCCCTCCCTTCTTCCCTCCCTCCCTCCCAGCCTCCCGCCCCTTGCGCTCGGCCGCCGCCCCCGTGCCACATGCGACTGGTACCCTCGAGGGAGAGAAGAGCGGCCGACGATCCTCGAGTCTCGAATGAGGCTCAGTCACACGTCGCCAAGTTTTCGCTGGTAAGGTCAGAACGCGTTGTGTGCCTCCTCTCCCCGCGCTGCCCGCCAGGCACACGTCCCTCCGCCAGGTGGGATGAGGAGCAGAGAAGCGGAGGAGTTTCGCTAAGACACTGCGTCAAACATCTTGTCTTGCTGTCTGTGTCTCCCGCTGTCCAGACATTTTGTCTCGTTTATCTTTGCCTCGGTTCGGCGGTCGGGGATGCTTCGCCAACATCCGTCCAGGACCGCCCGCGCTGTCCCTTTGCTCCTTACCACGGTTGCGAGTCGGAGACGCCCTTTACTGTTCGTGTTGAGTGACAGGCCCCTGTGGTCTGTATAACCGTTAGGGGCCTCACGCTCAGTCTTTTAGCATGCCTGCCCGCCATTTAACCTTCGAGGGTGCCTTGGAGGTGGAGGTCACATGGGTGGGATGGGACTGACTGCTCTTGCCTTGTTTACTTGGTGCCCGTACATATAACTAACACGCGCGCGCGCAATCCCCGAAAATCTTTTCCTCCCCACCCTGGCCGACCGTGTCTCTGAGTGGCCCCGCGGGGTTTGCGGGAGGTCCCTGGCGGCCCCGCGGGGCTTCCGGAGGTCCAGGAGGCTTTTCGAGCGCAGGGGGTTCTGGGGCATTCGGATTTTTTCGGAGGCTCTTAGAGGCGCAGGAAGAACCCACAGGAGAAGCGACAACGGCCGTCGACCCCCCGAACCTTGCGTCCGTGGCGCCGAGGCGTGGGCATTCTCGTCGTGGCCGTCGCGGCCTACGGGGTGCTGTCCTGCGTGGTCGCGCACTTCCTGAAGACGGCGAGGTCACCCCGGAGGGACGGTCGCGGTGGCGGCGCCCACTCTGGAGGGGCGGGAGGGGAGTGGGTTGCACAACGTGCATTGCAGGGGGGGAGGAGGAGGAGAAGGAGGAGGAGGAGGAGGAGGAGGACGAGGAGAGAAGGAGGATGATGCGGAGGAGGAGGAGGACGAGGAGGAGGAGGAGGAGGAGGACGATGAGGACGAGGACGAGGACGCGAAAGACCAGCGCGCGGGATGACGGTAAGCCGCTCCGGGACGGCCGCGGCGCTCGATACCTCCTCGAGACTCCCCGGCTCTCAGAGATCCTCGGCCTATCGGCGTCAGCCAAACCGACTACTATTATGTGTGCGTCGCCCCGAAAGGGGCGACGCGCGCGCCGAGGAATCTTATAGTATAAGCTCCGTGGCGGGCGTTTTCTGGCCATACCGCGCGTGAAGCGATATGCCCGAGAGGCTTGCGCCATTCCGTCGACCCCCCACAACATTAAATTTGGCCAGAGTCGCACCACCATGCCTGGCCTCTGGGTCAGGAGCCCCACGGCTGCATATGAGGGTCTCCTGGAATGCCTCTCAGCGGCCTCTTGGAGGGCTGTTCGGCATCTTGTCGGCTTCTGCGGGCCTCTCGGGGGCATCTTGGGTGCGTCTTGGGTGGCTCTTGGGAGCCTCTTGGGACCTCTAGGGGGCACTCTGGGGGTCACTGGGGTTCCATTCGTGGGCCCCTCTTGGGGCCCTCCTGGGCCGTCTCAGGGCTGCCTGGGGCCGTCTTACGGCCCTCTTGGGTCTTCTTGGGGTCCTCTTGGGCCGTCTTGGAGCCCTCTTGGGGGCCTCATGGGCTGTCTTGGGACGATCTTGGGGGCCTGTTGGGCCGCCTGGGTCGCCGTGAAGACGAACAAAAACAAGTATACTAGAAATGTATGGGACCATTGTTGCCTCTTGGGGCTCCTCGGCGGTTCTCGGGGAGCATTTTTGGGCTGTCGTGGGGGCCACGTGGGCCGTCTCGAAGTCATGTGGGACCGTCGTGGGGCTACCTAGGGCCATCGGGACGCTTATGTGGACTGTCTTGGCGCTCTGTTTTGGGCCCGCTTGGGCCGTCTTGGCGCCCTGGAGAGGTTCTGGAGGCGCCGGGAGCTCAAACCCACCCCCCCCCTCCTGGGCCCCCCTCTGATCGTTTTTCAGACCCCGCACCAGCGCCTCTCCCGCCTGGCCGCGCGCGAAGGATTTCGCGAAGGTCACGGCGGCGCGCGCCCTGCAGACCTACGCGCAGTTTTACGGGCTGCCCGGGGGAAGCGCCACGGTGGACCAGGCATCGACGAGTTCGGCTGGCATCACACCGCAGGCTGAGGTGGACGCTGGCAGCGCACCGCAGGCGGTCCAACGCCGTCGTTTTCTTATTCATTGCTTTGCCGAGCGGCGTGGGCCCTCGCACCCCGCCCCCCCCCCCTCCCCCCCTCCCCCCCGCCCCTGGAGTACTCCAGATTTCGTAATAAAAGGGAGGGGGTCTCAACCCTCCCAGACGAGAAGTTTTAGACCCCCCTCGTGGGAGAACCCTCCAAAACACCGTCCCCAGACCCCCCCAGGCCCTCCAAGATAGCCTGGAAGAGACACCCCCCGAAATGAGACCCCCCCTCCCTTTATTGCGAAACCTGGAGTAGATCTTCGTTGTTCTTGGCGCCGGTTTCAGGCAGGTGGAGCCTCCTCCGTAGGACGCATTGCTGCAAGCCGTCGCACCAAGCAGAGGTCCGGAGCCAGACCCCCCCTTCCCCCCCTTCCGCCCAATGTCGAAGCGTCGACTAAGAAAACGCTACATCCCTGGACCTTCCTCCTCCTTCCTCCCTCCTCCCTCCCCAGTCCTCCTCGCTTGTCCGTCCGCCTCTGCCCCCTTCTCCCCGTTTCCTCTTTACGTCCGCAGTCGACCCGCGCGGCCCAATGGTACTCCTTTGCATCCTTGCCTCTTCGGTCATCTTCGGCCCATCCTCAACCACCCTCGCTGGCCAGCCCCGCTCGAAGTGCCTCGGCATGGGCGTCCAAGGCCCTTGCGTCCTTATCGATGACGCCTGCGGCGAATCGCCGCCGCCCCCTGCCTTCTAGAATCGCCCATGTGGCCGAGCGTCGTGGCAAGAGCAGTGCCGAGCTATCGGACCATGTGTTCCCCCAGCCGCTGTGGAAACCCTTCGGGGAGCACTTGGGGAAGGATTGGGAGGAGGAAAAGGAGAAGGGGGTCTCTCGGGGGCGTCTGGGGGCCCTCTTGGGGCCTCCTGGGGGCGTCCTGGGAGCCTCTTGGAGGCATTTTTGGGGCCCTCTTGGAGGCCTCTCGGGGGCCTTCGGGGGCTTCTCGGGGGCCTCTTCGGCCGTCTTGGTGGGCTCCTGGCCCGTCTGACGCCGTCGGAAGCCGTCTTGGGGGTCTCTCTGGGCCGATTTGGGGGCCTCTTGGGGTGCTCCAGGGCCGTCTTGGAGGCCTCTTGGGCCGTCTTTGGGCCCTCGTGGGCCCGTCTTGGGGGCCTCTTGGGCCGTTCTGGGCCATCTTGGAGCCATCATCGGCCGTCTTGGTGGGCTCCTGGCCCGTCTGTCGCCGTCGGAAGCCGTCTTGGGGGGCCTCTCCGGGCCGACTTGGGGCTCTCTTGGACGGCGTCTTAGAGGCCTCCTTGGGCCGTCGTTGGGCCCGCTTGGGCCCGTGGAGGCCTCTTGGGCGATTTTGGGGCGATCTTTGAGGGCTCTTGGGCCGTCTCGGGCCGTCGGTAGGCCGGAAAAAAGCACATGCCAGAATCCTCAAAAACCTAAGGAACATCAATGCTTTTGGCCTCTTCGGTCCTTCCTGGAGTCCCTCTTGGAGGCCTCTGGGCCGTCTTGGGCCATCTTAGGGCCATATTCGGCCGTCTTGTTGGTCTTCTGGCCCATCTGACGCCGTTGGAAGCCGTTTGGGGGGCCTCCCTGGGCCGACTTGGGTCCAGGGCCGTCTTGCAAGCTTTCTTGGGCGTCTTAGAGGCCTCTTGGGCCGTCGTTGGGCCCTCTTGGGCCCGTCTTGGGGGCCTCTTGGGCCCTGCAGAGCCATTTTGGAGGCCTCTTGGGCGATCTTGGGGCGATCTTTGGGGGCTCTTGGGCTGTCTCGGGCCGTCGGAAGGCCGAAAAGAAACACATTGCCAAACTCCTTCAAAATCCTCAGGACCATCAGTGATTTTGGCCTCTTCGGTCCTTCCTGGAGGCTCTCGTGGAGGTCTCTTGGGCCGTCTTGGGCCATCTTAGAGCCATCTTCTGCCGTCTTGGTGGGCTTCTGGCCCGTCTGACGCCGTCGGAAGCCGTCTTGGGGGCCTCTCTGGGCCGACTTGGGGCCTTCTTGCGGTGCTCCAGGGCCGTCTTGGAGGCCATTTTGGGCGTCTCAGAGGCCTCGTGGGTAGTCTGGGGGCGATGTTTTGACCATTCGTGGATATTTTTTGAGGGCATTTTTAGGGTATTTCTTATTTTTCGCCCGAATCCGCCTTTAGGGGGACCGGCCCGACCTAACCCTTCGGGCCAGGCCAGCAGGGAGGGCCCGTCGATGGGCGTCCACTCGCGTCGGCCAGCGTCGGCTCGCAAGATTCAGCAAGATGGCGCGGGAGGCTCCCCCAGACCCCCGACGCGTCATGATTTTTGCACTGCGTCGACCCCCCGAGGTCTCGACCCATTCCTCGGGACCGATGTCTCATCTCGAGTCGTTTTCTGACGGTCCCGAGGCCTGGCCAGGGCCCCCAGATGCCAGAAACGGCGAAGAGCCTCCCGTCGCGCATTTTTCGTTATTCGAAGGGGCCTGGGCCCGCCGAAGGGGCGCGCATGTGCTGGTCAGGCCAGCATGCGTGGCCTGGCCAGTAGGCGGCGCGGGCGTTCAGTGCAGCCGGGCCTGGCGCCGGTGGCGCAGCACTCCTCCTCCTCCTCCTCCTCCTCCTCCTCCTCCTCTCCTCCTCCTCCTCCTCCTCCTCCTCCTCCTCCTCCTCCTCCTCCTCCTCCTCCTCCTCCTCCTCCTCCTTCTCCTCCTCCAAGCATTGGCGAAACTTCCTGGCTCGCCTACAAGGCCAACCAAATCATGTTCTAAGAACCTTTCGGGGCCTGCACGAAATGTTTTCCGAACATGTCTGACTGAGACTGGCTTGTTTCAACACATCGGGTCAATGTTCTGAGAAATTTGTTATTGCTCTTAGAGCACTGCTGGGTTCGAAAAACATGCCGTGGTAGGCCTACAGGAATGCCGGGACGGTCGGCCCCTGCCCAACTCCTCCTCCTCCTCCTCCTCCTCCTCCTCCTCCTCCTGTTTCTCCTCCTCCTCCTCCTCCTCCTGCTTCTCCTCCTCCTGCTGCTCCGGGGCGGGTGCCGGGCAGGACCGCGGGACGCGCGGGGCGCGAAGGAGCCGCCGCACCAGGCCTGAGCTCCCGCGGCGGCGCGCGGCAGGTCCGCACGCGCGCGCGGTGAGGCCCACAGGAGAGGAACGCCCTCCTCCTCCTGCTCCTGCTCCTCCTCCTCCTCCTCCTCCTCCTCTTGCCCTCCTCTTCCTCCTCGTCCTCCTCCTCCTCCTCCTCCTCCTCTCCCTCCGCTTCCTCCTCCTCCTCCTCGTCCCTCCTCCTCCTCTTCCTCCTCCTCTTCTCTCCCTGCTCCTCCTCTCCCTCCTCCTCCTCCTCCTCCTCCTCCTCCTCCTCCTCCTCTTCCTCCTCCTCTTCTCTCCCTGCTCCTCCTCTCTCCCTCCTCTCCCTCCTCCTCCTCCTCCTCCTCCTCCTCCTCCTCCTCCTCTTCCTCCTCCTCCTCCTCCTCCTCCTCCTCCTCCTCCTCCTCCTCCTCTCCTCTCCTCCCTGCTCCAGTCGAAAGGTAGCATACTGGGTAGCACGATCGTGTAGCATATATATTCCTTTATCCCATAAAATTTCATCGGGAATCCCCCCCATGAGATCCGGGGGGGGGGGGGGGGCGCGCCCACACACCCCCCTCCAGGGCCCCCCAAGGAGCCCCAAGACGCACCCAAAATGGTCCAAGAGGCAGCCCACACAGCCCACGATCGGTCCCAGACGTTCCAAACAGTACCACAGACGGCACAAAAAGCCGCCAAGACGTTCAACGAACGCCTTCAAAGCGCTCCAAGCGGGACTTACATGGCCTCAAGAGGGCCCAAGAGATCTCATTACATCCCGGAACGCCCTCAAGAGGCCACCGACACGCCCCAAGCGGTCTCCAAAAGGCCTCCGAAGAGGGCCCCATGAGGCGAAAATCGTTGATTCTCATTGTTTTTTTTTTTTTTAATGTTTCTTGGCTTTCTCGCTTTTTCGGCTTTCCGACGCTCCAAGAAGGCCCGGGAGGCCCCCAAGAGAGCCCCAAGACGGCCCAAGCGGCCCCCAAGGAAACCCCATGACGGCCCAAGAGGGCCCCAAGACGGCTCAAGAGGCACCCATGGGGGCCCCATGACGGCCCAAGAGAGCCCCAAGACGGCCCAGGAGGCCCCCAAGGGTCCCCCAAGACGGCCGAAGAGCCGCCCACGCCGGCCCAAGAGGCCCCCAAGACGGTCGATCCGAATTGACTTTTCGGGCCCTCGGCCCCAAGAAGCCCCCAGGATGTCCCAGGAGGCCCCCAGGAGGCCCCCAAGAGGCCCCCGGCCCGGAGGCCCCCAAGAGTTCTGTGGGGGAGAGTGTGCACCCGGACACAACACGCAGAATATTCCGAAAGACCCATCTGGCGTTCCTCCTCCTCCCACTCCTCCGTGAACATTTGGGCTCCAGCGGTCTCACACATGTCCACGGCAGACATGCTTCGATGTACTGTGTGCGAACAGGATTGGCCCACGTCTGACTTCAGCACGGAACAGAGACGGCGGTCCACTAGAAAGTGCGTCCGTTGCGCGGCCAGCGCCAACCCTGCCAGCCCCCAGCCTACTTTACTCTGCGCAGGCTGTGGGGACGATTTGCCCCGAGACAGCTTCAGTAGCAGACAACGGCGGAGACAGACGAAGAAATGTATCCAGTGTGTCGCCGCTGCCACGGACGCTCAGACGCCTCGGTCATCCCACGCCTTCACGTGCGTAAGCTGCGGAAACACCAAACCGACCGACGCTTTCGCCGTACGAGGCGCGGTCGCTTCTGACCCCGTCTGCGCCATTTGCATTGCCAGAGGCCGTCAGACCGCAGCCTGCGCTCAATGCGGCTTGGTCCTCCCTCATGACGACTTCGGAACCGGTCACCGCCACTTATTACTCGGAGTGTGCCGCGCTTGCACAATGCGTGGCCGACCCTCCAGCACAGTGCAAACTCTGTCTTTGGGCCGCCAGGACCACCAATGCTCGCACTGCGGCGTATTCCTGTTCCAACGCGAGATGAGCGGCTTCTGTTGCGGTCATGGGAAATACGTCGTCGACTTCAACAGCTACTACCCCCAGTCCGATTCCTCCTTGCTCAAGCTGTTCCAACGGACGTGGCCAGTTACCGACACGCACGGCCGGCTCGTGCACGACGACACCACCAACGCACCAAAGCTGACGGGTTTCACTGCCGATTCTCGACGTTACAACAGCTTGCTGAGCCTCGCCGCCCACGAAGTCCAGAGCGCCACTCCTGAACGAGAAGTCCGATTTGGAAGCGTCTTGAGACCATCCTTCATTCGCATCCACGGTTCCATGTACAGGAAAGTGTACTCGGCTGCCGACTCTGGGCCGGTCCGGGACCTCGTGGTGGACGACCGCGAACGCCGCACTTGCGCACGACCTCGACACAGGTCCTGCAGGTAACCAATTCTTCGTTTATTTGAAGCAGAAAGGCGAACATCCAGTCTGCCGCTTGGAGATGAAGTTCCCCCGGCAGAAGGATGTCTTTTTCCTCCGCCACACGTTACTGAATTACCCCAAGCGCAGTTTCCAGGACTGCAAAACCTACGGTGGGCATGCATACGCATCTTACGAGGAGGCCATGGTTGCCACGGGGCTTTTCACCCACGAAGACGAAACGTCCCGTGTCATGGACGAGCTGGTCTCGCTCCGATACACGGCGTCTCAACTACGATTCGCTTTCGTCGTCCTCCTCGAGCAGGACGCCAAACCCCGCACTCTGTACGACAAGTACCAGGCACATTTGATGAAAGACTTTCTCGACAGAGGTCTCTCCAAGGACAGCGCCCGCCAGGAGCTACAGCGAACGTTGAAGGCATCTTGGCTGGCCCAAGGCAACACTGAGGACGCCTGGTTTCTACGCCGCCCCGCTCCTCTTTGCAATGCCCATGGCATGCCAGTGCCCAACTTTCCCAACCAAACCCCAGCAACAGCTGCGTCAGAAGCCGGCAGACTCTGGAACCTCATCAAACGAGACCCTGGTCAGTCCGGAGCCGCCAGGGACGTCATCGACGTTTGGCGCTCCGGCACGTCGAGGCTCATTTTTTGCCACGGGAAAGCTGGTTGCGGAAAATCCACGCTCGCCAAGTACATCTCCTACTACGTGCGGTCCTTCAACAAAGGCTGCGTCAATGTGGCCTCTACTGGCATAGCAGCCCTCGACTTGCCAGATGGAGCCACCGCGCATTCCACCTTCAAGATCCCGATAGAGGATGCAGAGCACCTTACCTGCCGCTTGGGCCACTCCTCTGCGGACGCCCTTACCATCGCAGCCGCCGCAGTCATCCAATGGGATGAGTGGCCGTCTTGCAAGCGCGCTGCTTGGGGCGCGGTCCTCGACTACCTCACGGCGCTACAGCGCGCCCACCCCGACATCTACTTCCCAAACGTAATCATCACATACGGGGACTTCCGACAGATACTACCCGTTCTCAAGCACGCATCGAGACAGGACATCCGCGCCGCGAGCGTCACGACGTCGCCTTCGTGGCCGTCCTTCCGCAACTTGGCAACTCCGCGCCGCGCGCCGGCAAATCCGCGACGCAGACTACGCTTCGTGGATCGAACGCATCGGCCAGGGCGACCTTCCGCACACGCACTCCATCGATGGCGAGCCGGGCTGCGTCGAGCTGGACCGCTGCTCCGTCATCCACACCATGGACAACGCCATCAGCTATTGCTCCCCCCACGTCAACGACCCCGCCGAGTGCGCCCACCGGAAGATTCTGACAGCAACAAACGAGGCGAGAAATTGTTTCAACGACCGTATCCTGGACACTCTGACGCAGACGCACTTGCTGCGCCAATTCGTTACCCGAAGCTCGGACGCCATAGAATACGACTCCAACAACGACGCCGTCGAAGACCACATCACCGCCGAGTTCCTCCACCTGCAGGGCGAGAACGGAGTCCCCCCTCACTCTCTTCGGTTGGTCGTTGGCGGCCTCTACGAACTCATGAGAAACTTCAGTCCGTGTGATCGCCTGATGAACCACGCTCAGGTCGCGCTCAAGGCGGTGTGCGAGAAACACGTCCTCGTGGAGCGATTGGATGGGCAGCAATTCCCTTTGCCTCGGATCTGTTTCCGCTGGGCATTGGGAAGAGGGGCCACAACCATCCGGCGACGACAATACCCTCTACGTCCGGCGTACGCTTCGACGTTCAACGGCTCGCAAGGCACCGCGTTGGCCCGCTGCGTGGTCGACGTCCGCAGAAGCCCGTTTTCCCACGGCCATCTCTACGTGGCTTTGAGCCGGGTGGAGACGCGAACCAACATTCGCATCTTCACGCTGCCAGAGCGTTGTAGCCCAGCCGGCAAAGCCCTCACCAAAAACGTGGTCTGGCCTGAGTTCTTGCTGAACGACATTGCCACCTGTGTTGCACGCAAACGACCGGCCGCGAGCTGTCCCGACCACCCTCTTAGCGGCAAGCGTGGCGCGCCTCCGTTAGGGTGTCCTCTACCTCCCTTGCTTTGACTTCGACACAAAAACACATCCGTCGCCATCTCCCCGTCTTCGCCACTCCGCCCCGCCCCGCTTGCCGCCGCCTCCGCCAGCCCCGTCGGCCCGCCGACTTGCGTTGCCATTTCATTCTTACATTGCCGCCACGCAGTGACGCTAGCAAGCATTTCGGCTTCCACGCTCCCCGGAGCGTTCGCCCGTGCCTGCGCTGCTCGCGCGTCGAGGCTTACTTGCCCTTGACCTCCGCCGCGATGCCCGCCATGCTCGCCAAGCCCGCTGCCGCTCCCAGCGCCCTGCGCAGGCCGGCTGGCAACGCGGTCCTCGACACGTCTGTGCCGACGCGCCCGCAGCCTGACGCTGGGAACCGTGTCCGCGCGTCTCTGTACACGGTGAACATCAACTTCGAGATGGTCGACGCGCCGACGGAGGCCAACGCAGGCTCTCGTGTGGCGCTCTCGGACGGCATGAGCATGCGCAGCGGGGCCCCCGCCAATCGCCACGGCCTCGCCACTACAGTGAAGAGGGCCACCGACTTGCTGAAGTTGAAGGTGCCGCCCAACGGAGTGTGCGTCTCCGCCGAAGGGCTCCAGCCCCCGCAGTCCGGGCGCAACCCTACTTCTGGGAGGAGCTGGGCCTTTGTGGCGGCGGCTTATGGAGACAGCGTCAAAGCCGCCACCCTGGCCACGGAGCACGTGGCCGCCCGCGCCGTCGACATCATCACTCACTGCTTCTTGAAGGCCGACCTCCATATTCCGGCGACGGACACCGCGGGTGCCTGGACCGCCAAATCCACGCTGCTCAACAATCGGGTGTCCATCCGCCGCACGGGGACTATGACGAACGGCCAGACGTGCGAGCTCAGCGACCTCATCAACCTGGTCTACACGATCCACCCGAACGTCCCCACGAAGGTGGCCCGCACACTGAAGGACTTCTTCGGCGCCTACCCATCCATCATCACGGAGAGCGCTGGGCCGGCCCTCGTAGGCCCCGCCTCTACGACCGCGAACCACGGCGTTGGGGCCATCGGGGCCGCCGCGCCGTCCGCGCCGAAGCGCGGAGCCAAGCGAGCCGCGACGCCGGCCGCGAAGCAGACCGCCAGGAAACAGAGGCGCTGAGGCCCGGATTCAGCCACGCCGAACGCATGTTTTGCCGATTGCGTTGCTTCGCCTTAGCCCGTCGCGTTGCGCGGGAGACTTAGCTTTCGCCGTTGCACCTTAGCCCGCCGCGTTGCTCGGGCACTGATATCATTTTTTCTTGCAGCTCCCGCTCGAAAGCGTCGGGCCATCGCTGGGCCGATCGGGGCCCACCCCCCGACGCTGCCATCCGGCTCCTTTTTCCTCCCGTGTCCGCAGCCCGCCACTTTCCGCAGGTATCGCGCCCGCTGCTTCCGCAGTGTATACTTTCATACACCCCCGGCAAAAACGGGCATGTCAAAAAAAGCTGTTTTTGAAGCCCGTTTTTTTTGACATCGACTTTTGGGCCCCGCGCCTCAGCGAAACGCGCATTTCCGGCCCCCCAACATATCCTGGATGTCTGATTTTCCCCATGTTTCCAGGCCTTTGCTATCCCAAAAACTCCTCCTCCCAGCTTCTCTTTTTACGCGTCCCCGACGGCTGGGCCCCCGTCGACGCCCGGGTTCCCGAAACCGCTGTTTGCCTCCAAGACTGTCCGAAATCCCTTCGCCGCTTAAGCGTGCCCCAAAGCGGTCTTCACAAGTCGAACCCCTGATCAATCCAAATGTGAGTTTGGGCCCGGATTTCAAAGTGGATCCAACCGTGGCTACGAGGACACTCCCCATCGGGCCACCAAAGCCCACGAACGTCGAAGACTTTCCGGAAATTGTTGACGCTTCGCGTATCCCCACCAGCCCATCCAGAAACGATGCCCAGGGGAGTTGAGGTGATCAGGGAAGCAGGGGAGCATGCAGAATAACAAAGAGCTGGGGGAATCGTCGTCGGAGGAGGAGGAGGGACAGGAGGAGGAGGAGGATAATGAGGAGGAGGATATGGAATAGGCGAGGACGAAAGGACGAGAAGGAGGAGAAGGAGCAGAGGGAGGAAAAGGACGAGGAGGAGAAGGAGGAGGATGAAAAGGAGGAGGAAGGAGGAGGAAGAGGTGGATGAGGAAGAGGAAGAGGACGGCGAACCGAAGAGCCAGAAGCGTCTTAAACGCCTTTCGGAGATCCTCTTGAGGCTTCTTGGGGGTTTCCTGGGGGCCTCTTGGAGGCCTCTTGGGCGCCTCTTGGGGCCGTCTCGGCGCCTCTTGGGGCCCTCTTGGGCCGCTTTGGGGGGCTGTGGGGGCGCTCTTGGGGCCGTCTTGGAGGAAATCCAACAAAGAAGAGGGGTCCCTCAATTAGGGCACCCCCTCGGGAGCTCGGGAGCCCCTAAAATCGCCTGTTGGGGCGCGCTTGGGGCGCTCTTGGGGCGCTCTTGGGCGCTCTTGGGGCCGTCTTTGGCCTCTCTTGGGCCTCTCTTGGGGCCCTCTTGGGCCATCTTGGAGCCATCTTGCGGCATCGGCTGGCCATCGGAAGCGAAAAAGGCGAGAAAGCAAAACACATTGCTTTTCTGTATGTTTTGGAAGGATTTTGGCCTCTTCGGGGCCTCCTTGGGGAACTCTTTAGCCTCATGGAGCCGTCTTGGGGCGGTATTGGGGCCTCTTGGAACCATCTCAGGAGCCATCTCGAGCGATCTTGCGCTATCTTGAGCCAGCTTGAAACTCATATTGGGCTCTCCGAGGCGCTCTTGGAGCCATCTTGGGCCATCCCGCGAAACCCTCCGTCCAGGTCCAGGGGAGGGGGTCGGGGGAAGAGGGGGGGGTGGAAAAGGTTCTGATCTAGACCACCTACGCCCAGAGGGCTGGTGGGATTGGAAGTCCACGGAAATCGCGGATGCGAGCCCAGGTATCCCATGTCGCAGTATTTTTGTGACGGGCGTCCCAAGAGGTCTGGGCCCGCCCCTCGAGCCTGTCTTTCGTCCTGCGCTTTGTTTCACGGTCCCGGGATGGGGGCATGGCCCCTGGAAAGCAACGACGTCCAAAATGATCGTTGTTTTGCCGTGCGCCGCTGGGATCTCAGCGAATGGGGTCGCCAGAGGAGGAGGCGCGGGGAGACAGGCACAGGCCGGGCGGGGATCATGCCCGCGCGGGGACCGCTTCGCCGCAGGCCCGCTGGCGGCACAGCACCCCCGACTAGGGGCCCGATCCCTGCGGGGCTGCCCCCCACATCAGAGGGCCGACGCCGTGGGACCTCTCCCCGTAGCCCCTTACATTTTTTAAAAGCACGTTTTCCAGATTTCGGCCTCTGGGGGCCGTTTTCGGGTCTCCCGGGACAATGACAAACAGACCTTGGGCAACATATACCCGTAGGAATGGATCGACAAATTTGTGGCCGCGGACTGAAAGTGATCCTTTCGTCGGGGGTCTCGGTTCCGGCATCGCCGATGGACGGGGTTCATTGCTGAGGTCCCGCCGATTTTCGATTTTCCGAGAAATGCGAACGTTTCTGAACGCCTTTAGGCTTCTTGAGATGCTCTGGTCACCAACGTTGGAGTCTTCTCGAAACTACAGCCCCTCGCACCTCGTGTTCGATCTAGGGGGTTTGTGACTTCTGGGCTCAGACGCCTTACAACATCTTTCTTCAAGGTTTTCTTTCGATGCCGACCTCCAGGTATCTTCCCGCGGTCCCGACACCACGGATGCAAAAAACGATTCTGGGGAAAGACTCGGGACAACTGGGAAAATTCCGGGCCATTTGGATGCCCATCGTGATGCAGTTCGGGCGTTCGTGGAGCCATCATTCCAATCACCGTCATTGCCGTCGCCACCATGGGCCACGTCACCGTCACCTCTGACATCGTCCGCCTCCGGGGCCATTTCGGTCGAACTTGCTTGAGATTCGCCCGAGTCCGCATCCCCGAGCATCCACTTCACCGGGCCGAACGCATCCTCTGCATTCGAAAGCTGCGCGAACTCCGCCAGGTTTTTGAATAACTCGATTCCAGGGTTTTTTGTCGTGTCCCTCACCGCCTCTCTCATTCTCTCTTGTTCTCTGTTCCTCTTCCTACCTATCTCTCCCGCTCTTCTCTCTCTCTCTCTGCATCTGGTCTCTCTCCGCTTGCCTGTCTCGCGCCCTCGTGCTACCCTCCCTTCTCCATTGCACTCTCCCTTCCTCCCTCTCTGCTTTCCTGTGTCATCGTCACCTTCTGCCCGCTAGTCAGCCTCCTCCCTCCCCCAATCTTCCGCGCCCCTCCTCTGCTCACCTTCCCTTTTCACATCCCCCTTCATGCGCTTATGCCCGACGGGGCGGCGAACGCATCCACTGGCAACATGTTGTCACCCAGCGAACAGAAGTCTATCAGAACGGCTTCCTCGGACGGCATACGTGGCATTGTTTGTGACAGAGATGTTTTGACGTGTTGGCACCTCATGCTTCCATGTCGTAACTGCATGAGCTACGCTACGTACTACGATTTGTCGCATTTCCCCATATGCTTTTTGGATGGAAGTTGCGCTTACAAGAAACATGATCGTGACGTTTTCGTGAATGCAATCCACAAACGCAAAACAGGTGGTCGGGACATGCACCACTGGGTTCCTGTCTAAGAGCTGCCAGACGCGTTCAACCTTGGAAACCTCACAGACAAGCTTGCCCCTCAGGTGAACCACGACTTCAGCAAACGCAAACTCAACCATTTCCATCCCATTCTGGACACTACGAGCGCCACAACACATTACCTCATGATGTCCAACAAAACACGTCCATTGATCAATTTGGCATTTTTTGTCATCATGCCAACTGTTTACTTTAACGAAGGCCACTACTTGATCACCGCGCTGGCCGTGTATAGTTGGCTCGTTCATCAAAATACGTCCCGGGCGCAGCTCCTGGGCGACGCCGCCGCCCGGGCGACACTCCAGAAACGACTCTTGGACCAGCGCAACACCATGGCTACGGGCGAAAAGTTGCCGGCTCTAATTTCGGTGGATTCCTACGACGTCCGTCGGTTCTACGACGCAGTGGTTATTTGCGAAGACCTGTATGGCCGACAACCAGATGCAGGATACCACATCCCGAGCTTCACAGAAGGCGACGACGACTCCAATCTCGTGCCAAACGGATCCGGGACAAAACCTCACAGAGTTGTTGTGCGCATGCACCACATTGCCGCTACCCCGCGAGAACGCAGTGCCCAGTTGAACAAGAGCCCCGTCCTGTTGGTTCAAATGACAAAAACACTCCTTGCCACGCACGCGCATTGGCTGCCTTATCAGGCACAGCTGGTATACATGCGTTTCTTCCGGAACTCATTCGGAGCGCGCAATTGGGAGCAATCGATCATATCAGACATTTCTTTCATTGAACATGTTGGCGATGGAGATTTTCACTTCTTGCGGAAATTGCGTCCAGAAGCTTTCTCGATTTACAACTCTTTGGCAGACAGGGGGCCCGTGGGGGCTGCCGGGGCCACCGTTGCCACGAACGTTTCTAGGGGCGAACGGGACCTCGGCCGCGCGTTGATCCAACTGTTGACTTCCAGGCAGGGAAGCATGTCGTTGCATTCAAAAGTGAACGAGCTCCTCGGCTTCAGCGCCATGGACTTTTACGAATCGCAATGCGCAGTTGGCGAAGTGCGCACCTTCGTTTATGGCGCACGCCTGAGGAAAACAGAGACGACGGACTCCCGGCTAGAGAAGATGCGCGCGGCCCACCGGCGCTGGCATCGGGAGGTCCTCCTGCCGCGCGTCTGGGGCGCGGTGGCAACCGGAGACCGCGAGCGGACCCGTGAGTAGAGCAACTCCTCCAACGCACCGACACCAAAAAAACACTTTTTTTTTCATCTCCTCGCCCCCTGTGGAACCGTGAGTTTCTGGGATCCATGAGTTTCCCCGCCACTCCTTAACTCGTGTTCTCGAACGCCCCATGGGCCAAGATTTAAGGCGAAGCGGAGCGAGCCTTCAAAATTTTGTGTATGTATATATATATACAGAAACGGGCTGCACATAAGGAATGGCTAAAGGGATCCTTTCCGCGCCCGCTCTACAGTTGCCGGTGAACATCCGCTAAGCCAAGAAAGTCATCATCTTTATCGACCACTTCACGCTCCTAGTTTGTCTCGGAGCATCTCGTTCCACCAAATGCCGCCATGGCCCGCGTGGCACGCTGCCTTGCCCGTGGCGGTCGCTCTGCGCAGTCGTCGACGACCCGTTGTGCAATCCGCTCGACGTCTGTGCTGGTGATGCTCCTCGCAGAGGCAGGCGCCGCGTCTTCTTCTTCTTCCTCTCTTTCTTCTTCTTCTTCTTCTACCTTCTTGTTTTTTCTTCTTCTTCTTTCCCTTCTCCATAGTTTTTGGTGTTCGTCAGGCGGTCAAGTGTTCCCAGCATTTGTCAGCAGTTTCTCGGCGTTTTCAGGCGTTGAGTTTTTTTTCCAGGTATTGGGGGTTTGAGTTTTTAGGCGCTTAGTTTTTTTTGTGAGACCGAGTTTTTTGGCGTGTGCGTGTGTATATATATAAAATAGAACTGGGTTTATAGACCCACATTATATATATATTGCAGTTTTCTATTCACAAGAGGTTCTAGAGTTTGAGTTGTTCGCTGACTTTGTCTTAGAGATTTGTGGAAGTTGTTTTAGAGTTGAGATTTTCGCAGTTTCTGATTCCGAGATTTTTGGCAGCTTGCTTATATTTTGAGTTTTTCGTATGTTTTGGCGTCGAGAATTTGGGAAGTTTTTCTAGGATGTGAGATTTTCGTAGGATTCGGCTGAGAGATTGTATGACATTTTTTAAGAGTTGGATTTTCTTCGCGCGATGTGGCGGCGGACCGCCTGTAGTCGCTTTTGCCGAACCTAACGCTTTGATCGACGCTGGTGCGACGAGGAGTGCGCGCCCTCAACGAGGCGCGGCGGCAGTTTGGGCGCCGGGCTCGAACGCCTCTTCCAGTCCTGCGGTTGCGCGCCGGCGCCGCAGCAATTTGCGCGTTCAGGGCTGCAACGAGCAGCGCTTCATGAACCGCGTCACTGAGCATCGCGCTGGGGGCCGCAACACCAAACACCACGCTAGAGGACATAGGTCACGACCTTGTGACCTTCTCGTGCACTACGCATAGGTCGGACGGCCAGGGGGGGCGCCGAGCACCTGTGTTGCTAGTGCCCCATCCGGCCGCTGAGCGACGGGCCTCTGGCGGCTGCGTTGCTTGCGCCTGCCCCGCAGCAGGGCTCATGGCGCCAACCTCGCGGGGCGGATTTCGGTTTGAAAACAATGGGATGTGCCCGGAATGTCTTTCGCTTTGGATTTCGAGGTGAATTTCGCGCGGATTTTTTTTTTAAAGCCAGAAATGAAGATTTCAAACAATCAGCTTGAGATTCACTTCGTTTTTCGCTCGCCATGTCGGGGTTCTGCGCTGGCAGAAATCCACGCCAAAATCCGCTGCGGCAGGTCTGCAAGATCGGTGCAGCGAGCAGGGCGCGCGCGCCAGAGCGAAGACAAGGGGTGGTATGTGCCCGAGGCGCGGAAGCAGGTCGTGGGGGGCCGCTGCGACGGCTGCGGCACTGACCTCGCGGGGTTGGCCGCGCATCGTCTGGGCTTCCGAGCCATTGGCGAGCCGGGTGATCCCGGCGAGCGCGACGACGACGACGACGAGGACGACGACGACGACGATGACGGCAATAACGACGACGACATCCGCGGCGGCCTTGCCTCATGCCTGCCCTCGCGGTGGTTTCAGGGTTCGTCGGCCCTGGCAACGGACCGCCATCTGGCGAGTGCTCGAACGATCCAGTCCGCCGAATCCGGGGCCGCAACGAGTGTCGACGACATCCGACACCTCCTCGTCTACCTCGCTCACCTCCATCGGTCACGGCGCTGACATCGTGGAGATATGCGGCGGAGAGGCGCGGGCCAGCCAAGCAGCTGTCCGTCGCCGCCTCAAAGCGGGCGCCAACTTCGACTCGGTTGCGGGCTGCGATCCCGGAGACGATAGCCGACAGAGACCTCTGGAACAGAGCGTCCGCCAACGTCGCCCCCTAGTGGCCGTTGTGGTTTCCGCCTGTCCGCCATTCGGTCGTTGGGCCACATTCAATTGCGAGTTCAGCTACCGCGCTTGGCCAGTGCCCTACGAGGACGCAGCGCCTTACTTACGGCCGATTTTTGCGGCCACATCACACAGCTCTAACTGCAGTTGGGGAACTACTTCGTTAGCGAGCAGCCCGACGCATCGCGCTTGTGCGACGAGTCCTCTTGGCCAGAGGCACTGTCGACACAGGCGCGCACGTGATCATATTCGACAGTGCTAGCTGGCATGTCGAGGTCGTCGCGGGCGTATCCTGAGGAAGACAGCTGGCCTTGTCCCCAACGCCCGGGATATCCTCGAGTTCGTGAACCTGACGTGCACCCACATGCGCGCGCACGTGCGCGTCGAGGGCCGCAGAGGCGCCGACGCCTACGTGCGGCCACGGTGTGGCCATGGAAGATGGTTGAACAGCTTGTTGAGGGCATCGCGGACCCGCGCTGGCGCCTGAGACGGCAGCGTGAGCCGAGCTACGTTCGCAATTGTGATGTAGATGCGGAGTCCTTTCCAGCCGTGACTCAGAGGGGGAGATCAGAAATGCCCATGGCCGCTGAGAGCGCGCGTCATGCGCGCAGGGCGCTCCTTCGCGATATGCGATCAGATTCGCCATTGCACTTCGAGGCCCTGCTACCTGCCGGCACCCCCGCCGCGCCCCTATGCATTGGGAATGCTTTGGCCGTCGCGAGGACGCGACCATCCCACGCGCGCCCGCGAGTTCAGCATGCGTTGGTTCGCGGGTCCTCGCGCGCGGCCGCGCCCGCGCCCAGGCCGACGCTCTCGAGCGCCTGCGCGACCTGGAGGACCGCGCCCTGCCGCAGACCGGGCTCAACTACCTGGAGCAGCAGCCCTCGGGGCAGCAGGCGAGGCAGCACTGCCGCCAGCACCGTCCAGTACGCGAGGAGCCAGCTCATCTCCCAGCGCTGGGGTTCAGGGTAGTGAAGAGGGCAACCGCGTTGTGAATCCGCGCCCACGAGCCAGTCCGGCAGCCCGCGCAGCGGACAGCGCCGCGGGCTGCCGACGCTGCTGTAGGCAACCCAACGCTTGCAGACTGGACTCGATTCGACATCACCACGGCCCTGCGGACACTATCTGGCGACTCGCACGAGACACGAATGCGAGAGCCACGCAAGCTACATCTCCAGTGGTGGCGCGCAACTAAGGAGGAGATGGCACGAGCGCTGCGTGCAGCCAGCCTGTCATAGGCAATCCTCAACCTCATCCCCACAGCGGTCAACAACTGTCGGGAATGCCGTAGGTGGCTACCACCGCTAGCGCACCAGGCCATGCCCACACTATGCTTTTCGACGCGATTTAACCAGTATGTTGAATGCGAGATCCTTTCTAAAATCAGAATCGCATGCTGTTTCGCCTGATCTGCTGCGTCTCGAGGTGGCGCGCAAGCCGGGGGATCGCGGACAGGTGCGACTCAGCGTTGCTGGCAGCAGTGGGCAGATCATGAATCCAGTTATTCGGGCCCATGGAAAACTTCGTCGTGGACGGCGAAGGCGGGGTGACCTCCAAGTTCTGCGTGAAAGATGACGAGGGGGGGGGCCCAGGTGGGTATGCGTGCTTCGCGCCATCGCGCTCGTTTCATTGGGCGACGCGGTGCGTTGCTACGACGCGCGCTACGCGCCGTCGGTGAGCAGCTTGAACGCGAAGGCATCGTGGCCAACTTCGACCTGCCAGTGCCGCCGAGGGTGATTCACTATCTGCCCTGTCGGTGATGCCCGAAGAGGCTGACAAACGAATGCTTGGGCCACATCCAGCAGGTGATGTTGGCGGCTTGGCAGGCGGTCGAGGGCGCTAAGAATCTGTCCCAGGAGCTGCAGGAGCTGTCCTGGAGGGGCCCGACAGCCAGCATGTGGTCTGCGCTGCTGTCGATCGCGCGGCCGCCAGCACGGGCCGCAGGCCGCGCGAGTGGCCCCGGCACCTGGAGACTCGACGCCCGCTCCAGCAGATCCACGCGGCGTGTCACTACTACCTGCGCGTCGCCACTCGGGATGGCGACGCCAGGCTTGAGGCGGGAGATGAGGGGGGAACACGCGTAGAGTTGCATTTGGATTCAGCAGTGCGCGAAGCATTCCTGAGCTGCCACGAGGGCAATTGCTGCCGGCGGTCGAGGCCGCGGTGATCAAGCGCGAAACCGATCTCCTAACCGAGCTAGGGGGAGGCGTCGACGCTGACAAAGGAGGTGGCCGCCGCCGTCCTCGAGGAGCTTGCTATCTGGGTCAAGTGCAGGTGTTTCGAGCGTCGCCCTCTCGCCCTCTCCTGGGCGCTCGGCGTCGCGGGCTCAGACGAGTTTTCAAGCGGAGGCGCCGAGGTGTCGGGCGGCGAGGCCGCGGGGGTCGCCCGGCGCCGAACGGCGCTGAGGGCTTCCGCGGCCTGGGCGCCGGGGCCTTGCAGACGTTTGCCGGGGCGGCGAAGCGGGCGTGGGCATTCTGTCTTCAGGGGCGGCCCGTCGCCTAGATCGGGCGCGCGTGGCCGTCGACGCGGAGGGGGCGTTCCTGCGGGGCTTGGCGGCCGAGATGCGCAGGGGCAGGGCGAGGCCCTCAGGGAGGTCAACTTCGCCCTGCCGCCCTGCAGTGCGGCCATCCGTAGGCGGGCCCCGGGCAGCGAGTCCTTCGACGAGCGGGCCGAGCGCCTGCGCTGCATCGAGCCGGGCACGGGCTGCAAGGATGCGCCCAGAGTTGTCTCCATGGAGGTCGCCCGCGCCGCGCGTTCAGAGGGGCGCGGCGCCGGGCTGACGCGGCGGGGCCTGGGGCTCGAAGTCAGACGTGAGGCGCCCAGCATCTGTGGCGCCGGCGCCCCAGAGTTAGCGCTCATGCTGTCCTGGCGCGTTGGCGACCTCAGGGCGGCGGGGCGCGGGGGGCACGTCGGCCGTCTCGCCTGCCTCGTCGAGAGTGTCCTCGGCAAGATGAAGGGGGGCCACGACGACTTCATCTGCTGCGGCGCCCGGCGCCAGCGCAGTGCCGACGGTGGCGCGACGCTCGACCAGGACTAGTGCTTCGACCCGTTGATCCCCGCCATGCACGTCGACCTGGTCACGTCGATGGCCGACGAGCTGGCCGAGGGTCCATCCCTGGTCTTGTTTGTCTCCCTCCTCGGAGCAGTTTGTTGCCTGCGTGCTGCTCGCGCAACGCCGCTTGCCGCCTGCGTCGTCGCGCTGCAGGGGGCCGAGCAAAAACTGCTTATGGGGCGCGTCGTGCAGCTTGGCGCCGTTGCTTTGGCCGCGCCGAAGGTCGCGGCGCGCGTCGCCACCCCGGTGGCGGGGGGCGCGGGCAGGATCTGCCGGCGCAGCGACGGCCCCTTCAAGCGCGAGCGGGGACAGGGTGCGGCGCGAGAGGCGCCATGTATAAGCGTCTGGGCAAGTGTCGCAGTGCTGGTCAACAGATCTGCCGCCCGCTCGACACTGAGCCGATCGCGCAAACTCGCGTGTCGATCGGCATTCTTCTCCGAGCTGCTCGCGGCGCGTGAAGCAACGAACGGGCTGCAGGCGCGCCTCCTCGCGCTCCGCGAGGTGGCGCCATCCTGTGGCGCGACGCCCGCGATGTGCGAGCGGGCCCCATGACGCAAGGTGGCGTCGGCAGAGAGCTCGCCCTCAACGTCGTGGAGGGCGAGCTTGTTTGCGTCCATCCCACCGTGAGGTTGAGCGAGGAGCGCAACAAGAAGGCCGGCCCCGCGCTCCAGCTACAGCGACCTCTCCAAGGACAAGATCGACGGGTGGCCAGATTGCGGGCTCAGGCGAACTACGTTCGAAGCGAAGTAGTGAACAACACCGCGCAAGGCGAAACGCGCACGCAAAATGCGACATTGTGAGCCATGATGACGAGGAGCTGTGTTCGAGAGGCAGCGGGTGCGTTGAGAGGCCGTTTGCCCTGTCACTCGTCTGTTTCCATTGCTGACGGAATTGTTTGATTTCTTGCGTTTAGTCCTATGGTCAATGATGGGATTTCCTCCGCGTTTGCCGCGGGGGCCGTGGAAGGCCGTTGTGGTTGGCGCCGCGGGGGCCGAAGAGCTTCGGGGTGGGATCACGTCCATGAGCTACGGGGCCTGCCGAAGCCGGTTAGTTCAACCCTTCTTTGGGGCGCGTGTTTATGAAGAGCCCGGTCATGAGAAGTTTCTCTCACTTTTTTTGTTGTTTTTAGCATTTTCGTGAGTCCGGGGTGTCTTGTTGGCGGTTGGGTCAACGAGGCACAGCGGACCCGCGAGAGCGCCATATTCGGACGGTAGCATACTAGGTAACAGGGTGGCGTTAGCAGGTCGACGGAGAGACGGGCTGCACGTGAAGATCAGGAGTGTCCCCTTGGATTGGGCTCAAGGGATCCCTTCTGCGCCCTCTTTACACCGCCCGCTACAACGGGAGGGTTCCCCTTGGATTGGTTGTCAACGCCCGCTACGGTGATAAAAGGAACCATTTTGAATCCACCGCTTCGCATTTCTAGTCCTCCTCCTTTTCCTTCCTTCCCTCCTGTCCTCCTGCTCCTTTCCTCTTTTCCTGCTCCTCTCTTCCCTCCTCTCCTCTCCTCTCCTCTCCTCTCCTCTCCTTTCCTCCCCTCTCCTCTTCCTCTCGTCTCCTCTCCTCTTCTCTCCTCGCCTCTCCTCTTGTCTTCTCTCCTCTCCTCTCCTCTCCTTTCCTCTCCTCTCCTCTTCTCTCTCCTCTCTCCTCTCGCCTGTTATGTCTCCTTTCTCCTCTCTCCGGTTTCCTTTCTTTTTCTCCCCTTTTCATCTCCTCTCATCTCCTCTCCTCTCTTCCTTCTCCCAGTCCTGGGTTGCCGCGACCAAGTTCGAACAATCACGGTCCCCGCTCCGAAACGACACAGTTCCGTTCAAGCAGCCTTGCGGGCCCCTCTCCCGCTCCAGGCAAACAGGGGGGGAGGAACAGCACGCCAGGCAGATGTCGTGTTTTTCCCTAGCGCGCCATGGCGCATCTGATGTGCGTTCCAATGTGTGCGCCCGCGACTAACAGGGATGAGGACATGCGTCAATGATTCAAGCGGTTCAAAGGCTGTGATGATGTGTTGATAGCTAGCGCGCAAACATGGTTGGAGTTGAGCGGGCGACTATTACCCACGTTACTGACAATTTGGGGTCACAGCGTGTAGCCAAACAGGGGGGGCTCGTGACGAAAGCTTGTGGCGCATTTGTGCTCCTCGCTGGTCACGTGCCTTGGTGGCAACATTTGCACTACCTTCAGCGATTCAGGGCAGAACCGCAGGAGTCAGGATACCATCTAAAAGTGTAGGTGCCTTGTATGTTCACTGTGCATTTGCGCATTTCGTGTAGGACAACTGATTGTATCAAAGATAGTATGTCTGAGTGGCTGGAGAGCAGGTCGACGATTGTAGTGGGGGGGGCGTCGACAGTCTATTCGGATTACGCAGAGTTAGCGACGGACTGATTGACTGAAGTGAAGGGCATACAGCTGCGAGAGGCAGGTTATCCGTAAGGGCTTCGCCCCCTGCCGCTGGCCCCCTCTCTCGGAGAATGGGGCCATGGAAGAGCAGGTTTTGGACCCTGACCCCGCGGATCTGCGTGAGGGGTGGCACTGAATTTCAGAAATGTGGCAAATCCCCTTTGTTTTTGGACCCTGACCCCGCGGATCTGCGTGAGGGGTGGCACCGAATTTCAGAAATGTGGCAACTCCCTTATGTTTTTGGACCCTAACCCCGCGGATCTGCGTGAGGGGTGGCACCGAATAATGTGGCACACTCCTTGTGTTTTTGGACCCTGACCCCGCGGATCTGCGTGAGGGGTGGCACCGAATTTTAGAAATCTGTGTTTTTGGACCCTGACCCCGCGGATCTGCGTGAGGGGTGGCACCGAATTTCAGAAATGTGGCAAATCCCATGTGTTTTTGGACCCCGCCCCCGCGGATCTGCGTGAGGGGTGTCGATTTTGAGCCCCCCCAGCAATTCAGACAACGCGCCCAGGTGGTGCTAACAATCTGATTTGGGCCTCCCTCCCCTCGCGCGGTCAATCAACTAGTTACAGTAACCAGCAAGAAACATAACTGTAACACTGGAAACTACAAACTACAACTGGTACATGAAACTGCGAATCACGGGCCTACAGCCTGGTGGCCCCACAAGGGGGCCGGCGGACTACATAGAGAGAGTGAGTGGCGCATGCTTCATATTTTTGGTGTACAATGCCGTGCGCGATCGATTGTGGCGATGCGCTAGGATGTGGGGCCGATTTATTATGGTACGCGAGAGGGGGTTACTAACGCGTATTACATGGAAGTTCTTGGGGATGCACTGCCGTTGATAAAACGCATACGTTGTTTTTAGAAGGGCGACCAAGAGGCTGCAGCTAATCGGCGGCGCCTGAGGGCCGAGGGATCGCATGCCACTTGGGACCCGCCTCCTGGTCGCGGCAACATCCAGCTTTGACTGCCACAAGCAAAACAGAGACCACAGGTGGCGCGCGAACGATGCTGGAACTGTGTCGGGGCAGTGTCACATGGGGAAACAACGACCGCCAACCAACTGCAGGGAACCAGGTGGGATGAACCCCGCCCCGCCCCAATAATCTGTTGTGCGTTCGTTGTTTTGTTTCGGCTTCACCTTGGTACTTCGAATGACGAGTGTGGCGCCCCCTGACTGCCCCCCCCAGAATGGCCTCGCCGCTTCTCCCTTCCCTGCTTTGTCCCTTGCTGGTTTGCGCGCCCCTCGGCTCCCCTCTCGGTCGGTCCTGTCTTCCTGTCCCCGCCCCCCCTCCTCTCGCTACCCCTGTGGCCTCTTGGGGCATGCCCTGCCTCTCCTGGTTTTATATCTCCGCTGGAGGAGGATGAGGAGGAGCAGGAGGAGCAGGAGGAGGAGGAAGCGGA